TGACCATTCCCTTGTTAGCGGGTAGCAGTGTTGATTTTTATTGTTTTCTTCAGATTGGTTGCGACATGAGTCAAATGCTATGCAATATCGTTCATGAAAAGGTGAGTTACTCATATGTTTGTAGAAAAAGTTTGACATAAAGTGCAATGTTTCCATTATGATTCAAAACTTTCGGCTTTCTGTCTCTATGTGAGTCTGGTACTAATCACTTTCATGACGCCAGCGTTTAGGGGCGTATGGTTGTACGCGCAGATGCGCTGTCTCTTCCATTCCGAGAAGTTGCAGATGCTGTGCTTTCCATAGCTGTTTTACATCATATGGCCACTCTGGAGCGACGACAGAAAATGATCAGCGAAATCCTCAGGGTTAGTTACTCAGTGTAGTTACAGGCGCCCATGCAATGTTATGCCTTTTAGGTTCTGAAGCCTGGAGGACGGGCGTGTATCACCGTGTGGTCGATGGATCAAAGCAATTCTCAGTATGCAAAGATGAGAGATAACAAAGTGAGAACTTGGCTATTTATTCTCGTATTTTTATAGTCGGGGATTTGTGGTATATAGGTAAAAGGTTGCCCATATATGTCAGTGAAAGACCATGGGTACACAGTTTCGACAGTAGATCGAAGTTACACAATAAAGATTTCGGCTTTCATGAACACAAATATTTCTAAGAATCTAGGACTCTGTCGCCGAGGAAGTAAAAACTCAATCTTGTGAGCGCCTAAAGGTTCACGACGGTAAAGAATTTGTACAACAAGACCTACTGGTACCTTGGAGAATAGAAGAATCCGACAAGACGTTTATGAGGTATTTCCTATTCGAAGTGACCCCTGACAAAATTTCAAATCAGTTACTTAATGACTAAACACCAGCTTTTAGGTATTATCATGTGTTTGCGGAAGGTGAGATGGAAGAGCTTCTGCGGTCTGTTGGCGGCTGTTCTATAGAAAGCATTGAAAAAGAACAAGGAAACTATATAGCTGTGATAAAAAAGAATTAAGGGTTGGTATGTGGGTTTTTTCTGATCGTTACTGTTGTTGCCTTGTGGATTTGTTACTTATGACATGCCAAATGCTTTCAAATGCATAAAATTATATATTTATGCTAACGTATAAAACTGTGAGATTCAACACGCAATAACAAAACCTATAGAGCCGCTTGATCTAAAGCATCATTTGCTGAAGATCGGACATACTCGGACATTTGTCGAAATCGGTGCTTGCACTCGTTCATTCCAAAGAACGAAATTAGTTCTTTGATAGGTGGTCCTTTGGTGCTGTCGATGAGAGACGCCCGTATTAATGTAAAAAGTTTGGTATAGTTCCACTCCAGCCGCTGAG